TGCCATGGTCACAACCAGTGATCTAATTGCTTTTCTAATATCTGTGTTGTAAAAATATCAATCAACAAGAGGCCGGTGCAGGCCTCCTTGTCACCCTTGGGCTGAGGCTGAGTGCAGGTGATGGGGACGTGAAATTGCCTAGTGACTTTGAGCTGGTCCAGGTGCAGTTCACCCAGGCCTCCGTCCTGCTGCAGATCCCCCGGGACAGGGGAGACCTGGGAGCTGTTGGCACGTGGAGGGTCCCCAGGCGGGTGCCCCAGATCCACACCCTTCCCCAGGCGAGGTGAGGAGCGGTGGGTTTCCCGTTGCCAGTGGAAGGAAGCCCCGTCCCTCAGTGCACAAATCTCTCTGCCAGAGCTGTTCAGTGGGTCCGTGCTCCAACACATCTGTGGCTGTTGTTCTCCCTGTGCCCCTGGAAGCATTTCACATGACTGTACTGTGCATTTCCCCTCTTTGCCCCCTGAGAATGTGGATGTGACACAGCGCCAACATCGCGGCAGCGTCTTCCCCAGGAGCAATGTCCCTGCCGGCTCAGACATGGTGCTGTGATCACCACCTGCACTAGGACAGTGCTTGGGGCTCATCTCCAGCCTCGTGCCTGTGAAGGTCTGTTAGTGAGAGCTGTGGGATCATGAGTCTCCCTTCTCCCCACTCTTCCACACACTGCAGCCTCCAGCTCCCTTCACCCCAGGCCAGTGCAGGGGACGAGCAGGGCTTTCCCCTGCCACCACCCCGCGGCTCACCTGTGCACTCTCTTCCACCCGCAGGTGCCGGGACCCTGAGCAGAGCGGATCAGCAGCCTCCCGAGGAAGACCCTGTGAAGCTGGAGCTGCAGAGACCCTCCCCAGGGAGACGGGGACAGAGCGGCTCCCTGACGCCTGGGCCGGGCCAGCTGCAGGAGGGGCAGGGCAGGCCGGCAAAGCAGGGGCAGAGCATGGAGGTGAGCAGGGCACCAGCTGGCCGTGGGGGTGGGAGTGCGAGTGCAGCTGGGGCAGAGCCCAGGAGGAGCCAGGGGTGCTGTCAAGAGCTTGGGGAGCAGAGAGACCTGAAGAGTGAGACGTCTCTGGTGACAGAGTTGCAAACCCCCCAGGCTGCATTAGCAGGCGCGCGCTCCGGGATGCAGAGAGCCAGAGGTGCTGGCACGGGAAGGCCGGGTCAGAGTCCCTGGAGCTGGGCTCCCTGCCTCTAAATGTGCTGCCTGGGCTGCCTCCAAGGGCCGAAGAAATGGAGCGTGTTGAGCTGGGCTGAGGCCAACACGCAAGCTCCTATGTCCACAGCTGCATCCGTGGCTAAGGTGCAAATGCTTGTAGTAGAGCGAGTACACACAGGGCCACGGGGGCAGGAGACACTGATGCTGTAACGCTTGTGCCTGCAGCTCCGGGAGGTGTTTGAGGACGTGGCAGTGTATTTCACACGGGAGGAGTGGGAGCTGCTGGAAGAGGAGGACAAGGGCCTTTACCGGGACCAGATGCTGAGGAACTACCAAGCCCTCGTTTCCCTGGGTAAAGCTCTGGTTCTTGCCTCTCCCTGGAGCCATGTGAGCTCTGAAGTAGTGTTGTCTTCTCCCTGGTTTTCAAGCATCTCATCCTCATAAGCTTTTGGCAGATGGCTTAAATACTCTTCCTCCTGACTGCTCTGTCAGTCATCTGATGTCTCTGGCATTTCATGTTGAAATCTGCTCCCTCCTCTGATCCAGTCGCCTGCACCGGAGTCTTCCCCATTCCTGTAGCTCCTGGTACTGACATATTCAGATCCTTCTTGGTGAATGATCCCCCTTTGCCTTCTCAGCCTGTGCACATCTTCTCCATCACCGCCTACAAATTCATTCACAGCTGGTCCTTGGAGAATTATTGTGATTTTTCTCCCTGTTTCGTAGTGTCTCCTGTTCAATCCCATTCAACAATCTGAGCATGCTCAGTTCAGTGCTCTCTAAATCCCCTTTCTCCTCCTCTGGGTAGGACCCCCTGGAGTTATTGGAAGTCGTAGTCTTTTCTTCTACATCACATGGATTATGCATTTGCTCGGCTCCTTCCTAGTGACCTACGTACACGTGATGGAGCCCTGGTACCTGTAGCAAGGAATCACTGGACGCTTCTTTCCCCGTCCTTCCTGTCATCCTCATCTCCAGAGACCAGAGACTCTGGCTCTACTCTATTTCCTTTGAGATGTGCGCTCTCCAGCTTGCTGTCCCATTCTCACTAGTTTTCTTGTCCTCCTCCTGTAGTCCTCCTGTGTGTCAGACACCCATCACTATTATAAAAAGAATTGGGCTTGGTGCAGGGCGTAGTGAAAACCAATTTTCCTTTCCAGAATATCTGTATTACCAGGGCTTGTTGTGTCTTGTGTGCAAGGTTGAGGAACTTACCTCTTCCTGGGTCAGTTTGCTTTCCTGGTGCTTTCTTTTCCCTCTGTTTCCTCCAGAGGATTTGCTTAGGGAAGTGCTCAAATGCTTTTTTTAGCTGAGCACAGACCAAAGAGATTTCTTTTTTTTTTCTGCAATTATCTTGAAAATGTTAGAGGATTTTTGCCCACTTCTAAAAACCTGCTGGTTATCACTCATGTTGGTTGTCCTTTTGATTCTGGCTGCACTAACATTTTCCTTACCTCTTTCATGGAGCGGCTATGACTAAGTAACTGTTCTCCATTCACTGAAGAATTGGCATTTACTACACCTCTCTCTCTCAACAAGAGATGTGATATTTCAGCCCCAGTCTGTTCATCCTGTTCATTTTATAGATGAAATAGTTTCATTGTGTCTAAGGTTGGAAGGGACCTGAATAGATCATCAAGTCCGACCTCCTGCCCTGGGCAGAAACGAGTGCTGGGAACACAATACCCCAGCCAGATATCTGTCCAACCTCCTCCAACCCCCTGCAAGGGCGTGCCAGTGTTTGTGCCGGCGTTGGCACAAGGCAGGCAAGCAGAAGCCAAGTCCGATTCTTTGGCAGGGGAGAGAGGAAGACACGTCACTCTACAATAATGGTAAGGACGTGGCGGTCTGCCAGGGACCCGGCCCCAGGGATGCTGCCTGCCCGGGGCTCCTCTGAGTCCTCCACCCACACAGAGCCCGCATGCAGGTTAAGCCACCCTCCCCCCGTCTGTGGGGGCTGCCTGGCAGGGCCTCTGTGGGCTGTGGGGGGAGTGGGGAGCGGGAGTGCCCTCGCCTGTCCCACGTGTGCCCACCTTCGGGCCCTGCAGGGGCAGGTGAGGGAGCTCCAGGCGGAGCTCAACGGGCTGAGGGGAATCAGAGCTGCCGAGGACAAAATTGACGGGAATTTCCGTTCTCTGCAGAGTCAAGTACCTAGTGGAGAGGCACCCCGGGAGGGACCCAACACCCCAATGGTATCACAGACCGTTACCACCAGGGCCAGGGCTATTTGTGCTCCCGCAGTGTCGACCCGCGCAGTACACCTGGGGAACAGGTACGAGGCCCTGGCAGCCTGGGAGGAGGAGGCAGGGAAGGATGACTCCAGAGCAGCCCATGTGGCTCCACGCACGGCACAGACTGAGCGATGCCGGAACACCCATAGGAAGAGACGCCGGGTCCTCGTCTGGGCAACTCCCTCCTGAGCGGAACGGAGGGACCCACCTGTCGCCCGGATCCCATGGCACGTGCGATTTGCTGCTTGCCTGGATTCAGGACATCACGGCCATGATCCCAGACCTCATGTGGCCCTCTGATCACTACCCCTTGGTCCTCATCCATGTGGGCATGCATGACGCGGCCGGGAGTTGTCCGGACCGCGTCATGAAAAACTACAAGGCTCTGGGGGGACAAGCTTAGGGAGACAGGAGCACAGGTGGTTTTCTCATCTGTTCTTCCGGTGAGCAGACATGGATGGCACCATGAGGCCTGCATCGGAGAGGTCAACCAGCAGCTTCGGACGTGGTGTTACCTGGAAGGTTTGGATTCCTCGACCACGGCCTGCACTTCCATACAGGAAACATACTAGGGCAGAGCAGGCTAAATCTCTCCCTGAAAAGTAAGCATGCATTTCTCTTCCAGGTTGACTGATCTTGTACAGCGAGCTTTAAACCTAGGTTCGTCGGTGGATGGGGATGCAGAGGTACAGGAGGACAGTTCGACATCAAGGCGGAGGAACATCCTTCTCAACACAGCGGCTGAAAGGGATCTTGCAGTCATAGTTGATTCCAGGATGGACATGAGCTGCCAACACGTGGAAGCAGTCAGTAAGGCTAACCGCAACTTGTTGTGCATCCACAGATGCATCTCAAGCAGGTTCAGGGAGATGATCCCTCCCCTCTATGCAGCGCTGGTCAGGCCACAGTTGGAGTACTGCGTCCAGTTCTCTGCGCCGCACTTCAAGGAGGGATGTGGCTAACCTTGAGAGGGTCCAGAGGAGGGCCACTCGCGTGATCAGGGGGCAGCAGGGCAGGCCCTACTAAGACAGAATAAAGGTCCTAAATCTATTGCTGGCCACCCCATGGACTGCAGGTTCCCGATGTTCTCCTTCTTCAGGCTGGGCTGTCCTTGTGGGTGCCACATGGTTTGGTGGTCCGTGGCTTCCCCCACCCTCATCTTCCCCTCCCCCCAATGAGCCTAGTTGAAAGCCCGCCGGAGGAGATCTGCCAACCTAGAAGAGAACACATGCTTACCTGTGGGATGGGCTTCACCTGTCCCCCAAAGATAAGCGTGTATTCTAGGTTGGTGGATCTCCTCCGGCAGGCTTTAAACTAGCCTTGTCGGGGGGAGGGGAAGATGAGGGCAGGGGAAGCTGTGGACCACCAAACTATGTGGCACCCACAAGGACAGCCCAGCCTGAAGAAGGAGAACATCGGGAACCTGCAGTCCATGGGGTGGCCAGCAATAGATTTAGGACCTTTATTCTGTCTTAGTAGGGCCTGCCCTGCTGCCCCCTGATCACGCGAGTGGCCCTCCTCTGGACCCTCTCAAGGTTAGCCACATCCCTCCTTGAAGTGCGGCGCAGAGAACTGGACGCAGTACTCCAACTGTGGCCTGACCAGCGCTGCATAGAGGGGAGGGATCATCTCCCTGAACCTGCTTGAGATGCATCTGTGGATGCACAACAAGTTGCGGTTAGCCTTACTGACTGCTTCCACGTGTTGGCAGCTCATGTCCATCCTGGAATCAACTATGACTGCAAGATCCCTTTCAGCCGCTGTGTTGAGAAGGATGTTCCTCCGCCTTGATGTCGAACTGTCCTCCTGTACCTCTGCATCCCCATCCACCGACGAACCTAGGTTTAAAGCTCGCTGTACAAGATCAGTCAACCTGGAAGAGAAATGCATGCTTACTTTTCAGGGAGAGATTTAGCCTGCTCTGCCCTAGTATGTCTCCTGTGTGGAAGTGTGGGCCGTGGTCGAGGAATCCAAAGCTTCCCGGTAACACCAGCTCCGAACCTGCCAGTTGACCTCTCCAATGCAAGCCTCGTGGCAGCTTCCGTGTCTGCTCACCGGAAGAACAGATGAGAAAA